CCCAGGTGGAACCAAACACCTGGGCAATTAAGGTTGGGCTCACCGCCACATTCCTTCCTGTCCCAGGCAGGTTGTTTCCAAAACAGTTGTGGGGCTGTGGGGCAGTAAATATTCAGCCCACCTGACACTTAACATTTTGTCTCGATATATAAAAATCCAGATCTGAGAAAACAAATTAGGCTCATGTCTCTCTCCAGGTTGTGGTTTTATTTTCTTTCCACCCACTTACTGTGCTCGAACTTGGACTGTCTCAGGGTTGAGGCTTTGAACAGCTCTGTGGGACACTATTCAATGTAGACAGTGTCCCCTGGAATTCTGCATGTAGTAGTCCCATTTATAATAATCTTTTTTCTTTTTTTTTTTTTTTTTTTTTTTTTTTGAGACAGAGTCTCACTGTGTTGCTCAGGCTAGAGTGAGTGCCGTGGCATCAGCCTGGCTCACAGCAACCTCAGACTCCTGGGCTCAAGCAATCCTCCTGCCTCAGCCTCCCGAGTAGCTGGGACTCCAGGCATGCCCCACCATGCCCAGCTAATTTTTTTCTCTATATATTAGTTGGCCAATTAATTTCTTTCTATTTTTAGTAGAGACGGGGTCTGGCTCTTGCTCAGGCTGGTCTCGAACTCCTGACCTTGAGCGATCCTCCAGCCTCGGCCTCCCAGAGAGCTAGGATGACAGGCGTGAGCCACCGCGCCCGGCCCTATTTATAATAATCTACACTGCTTTTAATAAATATGGAAGTGACACAAAAAATATGATGCTACGAGGAACACCTGGGCACCCACTAGCCAGTGACCTGGCTGGCTCGTCCTCGCAGAGTGAGTCACGACTCGAATTTCATATCTTTCGTTTCCTCCTTTCTCTCGATTGATAAGCTTACGGCACATGTTTGTGTCCTTGAACAGTTTGTTTAGCATAGAGGAGTGAAAAATGGCTCCCCTGCAGCCTTCTAGGTTTTTTTGTTTTGTTTTGTTTTGTTTTGGCTGGGCTACAAATTAAATTGACATAAGCTAAATTAACAAGAGAAAAAGACATATGTAATTATGTACCTAGGCATGGGAGTCCCGCAAAACATGGCACTCAAAGAAGGGCCCAGAAGATTGGAGTTTATACAGCACTCTGAGCCACTGAGAGGCCAGGAGGGGGCACAGGGCTTCTGTGGGGTGTGGCCGCAGTGACATACGGGAGGTATGGGGAGGTATGGGGAGGAGGTGCGTGGTGCATAAAGGTTGTCTTGTTACGCAGATAAAATCTCTCTGGCAATAAAAGTCGTCTGGAGCAGGCGCCTCTTCCTCATACAGATGACTGACTAATGCACATTTCCTTTAGAGAGATAAATTCCTTTTAGAATGGAGCAGCTTTCCGGCGATATTCCCCGTTGTCTGCGCTTTCTCAGAGTTATGAGCTAAAAAACATGCCCAAAGGAGTGTATTTTGGAGTGGCCCGTTTGGATTTTCCTGCAGTCATATTTTGGGGTGGTGCGTCCTGAGCCGCAAAATTAGTTTTTTAAATTCTTTTTTTTTTCCCTAGCTTTTTATTATAGCTTTTTGATAGTATGGTGAAGTTAGAAGATCAGCACAACTAGCGTCAGGGTATCCAGGACTTAAAACGTGTAGCGATTTGTTGAGATTTGGGTGAATTTGCCTTACCCTGCCGCACGTGTACCCCTGTCCCTCCATAGCAGGAAATACGGAAGGAGACAAGCAGGCTTGGTGTCGGCGAGAGAGGTCGGTTTGCTTGAATTTCAGGTGCAGCCGGTGGGAAACCCGGCTGGAGCTAGCTCGCTGGGAGCCAGAGACGCAGGTTTTAGGGGGTGTCATTGGTGTGGCTGGGGTGGAAAGGAAGCTACACAGGTGTGCAAGATCACCGGGTGGTGGTGGGAGGACCCAAGATGGAAATTTGAGGGTCGTCACATTTAAAGTATAAGCCCGAGAAAGAAAGAGTTCCTAACTTCTAGGTTCTCCAAACCAGGCGTCCTCAAACTACCGCCCTCGGGCCACATGCGGGTGTTCGTGCCCGTTTGTTTTTATTTTGCTTCGAAATAAACTATATGCAGTGTGTGCATAGGAATTTGTTCATAGTTTTTTTTTTTTTTAAACTGTAGTCCGGCCCTCCAACGGTCTGAGGGACAGTGAACTTGGCCCCCTGTTTAAGAAGTTTAAACAGGACCCCTGCTCTAAAGGATACAAACCAGAGATCAGAAACGCAAGTAATGTTAAGTTAAAAGCAGGGGACGGCTTTGTGTGGAGGGTGGGGTGGGGGAGGGTTATGGCCAAGTGGGCTTTGAAGCCGCCCGCCCGCAGAAGACTTTAGTGTTTTGAGGAGCACGGTTTGCATGCTAAGCCCAGAGCCCTTAGCGTTTTGCAAGCGAGGAAGCTGCTGCCTCAGTTTCCCTTGCGGCGAAGTGACTTGCCCTCCTCCGTCACCCTGCCAGTTAGGGTGTGGAGGTGGAGCTCGTGCTGGTGAGCTCCCGATCGCTCGTCCTCGGGGCTCCCTCTGTAATATGGTGACATCGCCGTAGAGAACCCCTTCCTAGTCACCATCTCCACCGCCACTCTCCGCCCCCCCACACACACTCTGGGTTACTGAAGGTGAAAAAAGAAAGTTTGGCAGGGAGGAAAAAAAAAAAGCGATGCATTCCATTGTTCTAGGTCTGGGGGTCCCCAAACCCCGGTCTGTGGCCTGTTGGTAATGGGGCCGCATAGCGGGCACTCAGTGGCGGGTGAGTGCCCCCCGAGTGACCAGGGGCAGCAGTAGGGTCTCACAGGAGCGCAGACCCTCCTGTAAACCGTGCACGTGCACGTGGGGGATCCAGGTTGCGTGCTCCTTTCGAGGACTAATGCCTGACGCTCCGAGGTGCAGCGGGGTTCCCGATGCCGGCGCTGGGGAGCGGCTGCAAACAGAGACCGTCTTCAGCAGGGAGGTGGAATATAACGCACTCGAATCATCCCCCCGCCAGCCCGTGGAAAAATTGCCTCCCAGTGCAACCTGGTCCCTGGTGCAAAAAAAGGTTGGGGACCGCTGTTGCTGTTCCAGATGTCAAAGCCCTCAGGCGTGCCGGACTGACGGCAGGTGCCCTGATGTTTTCCGAAGGGACGTCCTGTCTGGTGGCTTATCAGCGGACATCTCTCTGCGGACATCTCTCTGCGTAAGCTGCTTCGGGGCCAGCTGACTGTCATCCTCGCAGCGGGAATTCAACCTGTGTCTTCCGTTTGTCGTTTTTTTTCGGTGCAGGGACGTTTAATTTCGTAATCGTTTGATAAGCACGCTGTTAAACTAAAATGTATTATTTCTTCGCAAAGCTGAAAATACTCCCCACAGGCTGAGATTTTATTTGGTGAGCCACCTGATGAGGAATTTAGAAGACTCGATTCAGCACAACAATAGCTTACCACTTGCTGAATTTACTAAGTCGTGGGCGCCATGCTAAATGCTTCATCTTTACAGGGCGAAGAAGCAGTTAAAAGGGGTGATGGCATTTGCCAGAGTTCTGGGACTACTAAAGGCCCAGTTTGGGTTGAGATTCTTCGGTATTCCAAATCCCCAGGCACCTTTTATTCCCAGGATTAGTCCTGGCCTGGCCCGGTGCTGTGCTCGGTGCTCCATCTGCGTGTATGTCCTCTACCCGGGTTCGGCTCCCTTGCTCTGGTTTTCTCCGTAAAACTCTCTCTTAAGGGGTCTGTGTGTTTGGCGCCCTTTAGTAAGATTTACCAGGGTGGGGTGGAGGGAATGCAGGAGAGGGGAGGATATGGAAGTAGAAACTGTTATATGACAGACGAACAATTTCGAACTGAGCATCGCATGGCATTTCTGTTCTTAAAATCGCCTTGAGCACCCCATCCCTGGAAATCTTTGTCTAAAGGCCTGCCACCCCCAGCCACCCCCTGCACATACACGCAGCTCTGGTGCAGGCTCTCTCAGAAGGCAGTTTGGGTTTTAAGTGCCTTTTTAAAAAAACCTCACCACCGAGGCAAACGCTTTTGGTCATAGTTTACCTATTGCTAAAATAGGAATATCTGTTCGACCCGCTTCATTGGGATTTTTCTCTCAAGGATCTAAAATAAAAACGATGGAAGTTGATGCTTGAAAGCATTAATACGTATGAAATGCTGTGTTCGTGTAAGATATCACTCTTATTATTGATGCTGTGATTGTAATCAAACCAAAAAAGGGACTGTGAGCAGCTGATGAGAATCTACATGGAAATAACACCGTGTTCTTCCAGTAAAGTAGCAAAACAATACATAATTGATTTTTTTGGGGGTAAATTTCTGATTTTCAAAGCGTATGAGCTTCTTTCGTGTCTTTGGTTTTAAAGCGATCCTTTATATAGATAGATTTTAGTGAAGATGAACTTTCCTAACGAAAGTATAACAGTGCTCGGATGTTCAAGATGAGTTAATAGTTTTTCTTTCTTTCTTTCTTTCTTTCTTTCTTTCTTTCTTTCTTTCTTTCTTTCTTTCTTTCTTTCTTTCTCTCTCTCTCTCTCTCTTTTTCTTTCTCTTTTTCTTTTTCTCTCTTTCTCTCTCTCTCTCTCTCTTTCTTTTTCTTTTTCTTTTTCTTTCAACAGAGTCTCACTTTGTTGCCCAGGCTAGAGTGAGTGCCGTGGCGTCAGCCTCCCTCAAACTCCTGGGCTCAAGCGATCCTGCTGCCTCAGTCTCCCGAGTAGCTGGGACTACAGGCATGCACCACCATGCCCGGCTAATTTTTTCTACATATATTTTTTAGTTGGCCAATTCATTTCTTTCTCTTTATAGTAGAGATGGGGTCTCCCTCTTGCTTGGGCTGGTTTCGAACTCCTGACCTTGAGCAATACTCCCGCCTCGGCCTCCCAGAGTGCTAGGATGACAGGGGTGAGCCACCGTACCCGGCCAGTTGTTTCTTTTTTTCAGATTATGTAACTGAAATTTGACACACTGAACAATAAATAAATGCCTTGGCAAATGTGCTTTTTTAAACATTATTTTGCAACGTGATTTATCTCTTTTTTTTTTTCATTTTAGGAAACAGATATTGATGACAGATATGGAGATTTGGATTCCAGAACAGATTCCGATCTTCCAGAAATTCCACCATCCTCGGATAGAACCCCCGAGATTCTCAAGAAAGCTCTATCTGGTTTATCTTCAAGGTGGAAAAACTGGTGGATTCGTGGAATTCTTACTCTAACTATGATTTCCTTGTTTTTCCTGATCATCTATATGGGATCCTTCATGCTGATGCTTCTGGTAAGTGTGTTTCACGTTTCCCTAAGTGTCTCTTGGCTTGTTTTTCATCAGCGTTTATCTGATAGATTGAATTAATTTAACCATGTCACACACACAAAAAAATGATGGCAATTCAAGACCGGGTGACAGCAAATTTAGTTTCTTTAAAAGCATCTTCTAGGCTGGATGCGGTGGCTCATGCCTGTCATCCTAGCACTCTGGGAGGCCGAGGAGGGAGGATCGCCCAAGGTCAGGAGTTGGAGACCAGCCTGAGCAAGAGAGAGACCCCGTCTCTACTATAAATAGAAAGAAATTAGCCAAACAACTAAAAATAGAAAAGAATTAGCCGGGCATGGTGGCACATGCCTGTAGTCCCAGCTACTCGGGAGGCTGAGGCAGGAGGATCGCTTGAGGCCAGGAGTTGGAGGTTGCTGTGAGCGAGGCTGACGCCACGGCACTCACTCTAGCCTGGGCAATACAGTGAGACTCTGACTCAAAAAAAAAAGCGTCTTCTAGTTCATGGACCGATCTGAACGAATCTGTTCTGTTTGCAAAATGACCGTTCAGAGTGTTGGTTCAGCCAAGGCCGAGTTTGCGTGATAGACACGTGTCCCCGTGTCTGACCATGTGCCAAGCGTTAGATGTGACAGAGATACACAGGGCCGCAACATACACGGCCACTAGCTAGACCCCCGATTTCAGAGAGCGCAGTGCAATGGCAGAGGGCACGCGAGCAGCGAAGTGGGTGGCCAGTGCGGCCAGTAGGCGGGACGCCCTGCAGTGCATGGAACGCACCAGGCAGCGCACAGTAGGTGAGCAAGCACCTGGTCCCGTCTGCGGGAGACAGGAGGAGCTACCCAAAGAGGTGGGGCCAAAGCTGAGTCCTGAAGGCTGGAGGGGGGGGGGGATGTCACAGGCCAGGCACAGCGGCAGCGAGCTGGCGTGTCCCAGTGGAGGGTCCGCAGGTGGCACGTGCAGGGGTGGGGAGGGTCCGCAGGTGGCACGTGCAGATGGTGGGGAGGGTCCGCAGGTGGCACGTGCAGGCGGTGTACAGCTGGACGTTGGCAGCACTCACCTGGGGGTGATTTCTGATAACTTATTTTGGTGTGGTTCTTCAGAAGAGCTGCTGGATAATTCTGAGACTGAGAGTCAGCTACACAGGAGGGGCTAAATATCCATGCAGATTTTATATAGACAGGACAGGTCATTATCTGTTGACTGTGGTCCTTATTTTTCTCCTATTAGACTTGTGATCTAGCCTAATTTCCTAATCCATTCATTAATACACAGTTATATCTGTAAAGCTAAATGGAACTTTCAGCCATAGCATTTTTTAATAATTTTTTTTGTAGAGACTGGGTTCACCGTGTTGCTAAGGCTCACTGCCCAATCCTGGCCTCAAGCGATCCTCCCACCTCAGCCTCCCAAAGCCCTGGGATTATGCACGGAGCCACTGTGCCTGGTGGCTAATTCTTTGACTCTCCACCCTTTTTTAGTTCAGCCTCTAAGCTCGTGTCTCACAAGAAACTTAAGAGTCTCGTAGTTGTTAAACAGTAAAGGGAAATAAGAGTTGGGCGGTTCAGTTGACTGCCTCGTGGAAAAACGGTGGAAGCGAGAAGAAAGTTTGTGACTTAATCTTTTGGCACTTTAGATCTTTTTTTTTTTTTTTTTGAGAACAGAGTCTCCTTTGTTGTCCAGGCAAGTGATGCCAGTGGCGTCAGCCTCGCTCACAGCAACCTCAAACTCCGGGCTCAGTGATCCTCCTGCCTCAGCCTCCGAGTAGCTGGACTACAGGCATGAGCCACCATGCCCGGCTAATTTTTTATATATATATCAGTTGCCAATTAATTCTTTCTTTTATAGTAGAGACGGGTTCGCTCTTGCTCAGGCTGGTTTGAACTCACTG